CATGGAGAGTTGATGTGAATCAGGCCCTCCTTCTAGCGTCAAAATGTTGATACAGAAATCTGTACCAACTAGATAATTCCAATTAACCTTGTCAGAACCGAAATGAATGTGCGCGTGATTTAATTAAAATCAGTAATGAATAAAAAAGAAAGAGTCATAAATAAGAACACAAGACAATTTTTAAAGTGGTTCGCCAAGTTAGAACTTGAGCCTATGTCCATTGCTATCTTATTACTTTTGAGAGCTTACAAAGAACAGTATAATTCCTAAGATATTTGCTTAGAATAATTGCCCAGCCCCTCTAAAAATAAGTTATGATGGGTTTATATAACACCCATTTATGTGATAGAGTTGAGATAAGATTCAAATATATAGAATTAGGAAGTTGCATGATCTTTGGCTACCTTATTTAGAGTCTAGGTTAATCTGAATATCTTGCTTCCAAATTGAGCCAATCTAAATATATTTTCTCCTAATAGGGAATTATCCTCTTCGGATTGACCGAACAACACCAAGATAAGCTGCTCGATCCAGTAAACCAATATATGAAACTTGTTGAATAATTGAGCTACACCTGTATCAAGAGTCTAAAGTAAAAAACCAAAATAATCATAATCAAAAGGGTACAGATTCTTTGGTACAACAATATGTCCTAAATTAACAAGAGTTTATTTTTATTAGCAACCTTAAAGATATACCTGTTGATATAATGCCAAAAGAAATCAATGTACCAAAAACTCCAAACATACTGATAGTGATAAAGTTTTTTCATATGAAACCAGCTCACAGAAGAAAAGTAAATGGTTGAAGTAAACAATTAAGAAATAAAAAATTGATTTTGGGCAATACAAGTTGATACTTCTCATGAAGAAACAGATGACTGTTAGGGTCAAAAATCGTCCCCGACCCAAATGGGAAAACGGGTCTAACAATGAGGAAAAGACCAGACCCAATCCCGATGCGGCCCAATCCAAAACTTACCGGATTAGGCCCATTTGATACAAAGTACAATCGGCCCAAACCGTCCGGACACAAGCCTCCTAGCCGCAATTCACTTCCTGGATCTATGAACGAATTCAGAGCCCATGGTCATCTACAGATCACAATCCTATGTGAACACTGGTAAAGTAGTCCACTATCGCCCCAACTCCCCCAAGGTTCGTGTCAGAGTCATATCTGGACTCCCTTTCATACCAGGATAAGGGGATCAAAGGATATATCTCTGAAGGAAACGAATCGCTATGAGAACTCCCAATCCCACTAGGATTGGGAGACCAGACAGTCACTATTTAAACAGAGGCCAGCCCTCTCACAAGGAGATTACACTACACCTATAGACCCCGGAGTTCTAGCTGAGAACTTCACATCACAACCGTAGTCACAGTCCCCGACTAGACTTCTGGTAACCTCTTTACTCCCTAACCCTCACTAAATCAGCCTTTCAGCCTTGCTGACTTGAGCGTCGGAGTGCCTACGGCAAACACCACCCCGGTGTTTTCCGTCGCTTCACGTGTGTTTCTTTATGTGTGCAGATACAGCAGATCGCTAGTGGCCTCAACCTCACGGGATCAGTCCCTCCTTCCGTACAGATAGATTTTTACGTCTACAATGACCAACAACAATGAGTCTGAAAATGCTAACGAAAAGTAATATATAATATGAACTTATATTGCAACAAAAAGTGAGGAAAAAGAGCATAGAAATTGTGATATAAAATCAAACTTATTCAACATTAAAATATGATGGGTGGAAAAAGATATATAGAGAAGAGCTTTTCATTAAACACCAAAATGTGCGAGCTTTCCATCTAAGGGCCGTTTGGATCAGGGGTAATCTTCGTTTATTTTACAAGATTCCTGTGTTTGGTTTGCAAGTAATAAAATATTACGGTAATCTTTTATTGTAAATAGTGTTTACTGTTGGTAATGTGGAGGGTAATCTTATTACCTTGTTAGAGGGTGTTATTAAAATATTAACGGGATAATCTGATTTTTCTATCCATTTTGCCTTTAATTAAAAACCATTTCGGACACAATTATCCTCAAATAACAATTGCCCAACCCCCTTACATTTGAGAAATTAGCTAAAACACCCCAACTACAAAAAGTTTAAAAGTTAACAAAATACCTCAACCACCTAAGACCACCGTCGGCCGTGACTCACCACCATCGATCACCAACATCAGTCGCCGTAATGGTGCATGACCGGCTGGATCTGGCTGGTCGGCGCTGGTAAGGCCTTTTCTGGCCATGGATTTGTAACATCTAGATCTAGCGTTTCTATGGCCGTGAAATGGCATAGCCAAAGATTTGGCCTTTTCATGGCCAGATTTGTGGCCATGAAATGGCCATAGATCTAGTCGTTTTTCGGCCATGGATTTGTGATCCATGGCCATTTCTGGCTTTGCCCACACATGGCTGGCCATATACGACCAGTCGTGCGCCATTCTGTCAATTGCCGGCGATGGTGGGTGGCTGTTGGTAGTGGCTTGGGGTGGGTGGGGGTGATTTTGCTACAAATTAAAGTTTTATATGGCTGAAGTATTTTAGCAAAATTTCAAATGTAGGGAGTTAAAAGAAATGATTCAAAAAATAATAATAAAAAATATTATTATATTAATATTTAAAAAGGAGGGCAATTTGGTAATCTATATAACACACCTACTCATTTATCCTCTCAACCAAACATATTATCCACCAATTTATTCAAACCAATCAAACATATTTTATAAATATTCCCAGTAATTTTTAAGGTGATTTTTCTTTCCGTTAATATAATATACCCCTATAATAAAACATTATATGATCCAAACGCCCCTTTAGTGGTAAGTAGAATAACAATGCCAGTAGAAAGGCCCTGCACTCAACGGCAAATCAAACCATTATCAATTGTTATGGAAAAAATGTAAAGGTTAAATTAATTTTGGAATGTAGAATAGATAAACTCACAATGAAAAGTGAAGTAATTGAGCCGATCATCCATCGCTTATACCAGAATGTTAGAAATTTTCTTGATTGTGCTAACATTAATTATAATTCCGTTTTATTTAAAATCGGATAACTGTATAGTCCAAATGAGATATTTAGATGGATTTTATGTGATAATTTTAAAATTGTCCAATAAACTTTATTATAATAATCTCGGTAGATGACTAGTGTGTGCTTAGCCCAATTAACCAATATTAAATTTGGCTAGTTTTCATTTCTAAATGCATCAAATCAACCTAATCCATTGTAAGTTGTCATTCAGCGTGTGTTATTGCAAATAAAGACCTATGCTTTCTGTCGCTTATGGAAAACCTACCACTTCTTCTTTAAAGAATTCAAGAGTTTGAAATTATGATACAAACAAGTTTGTATATAACCTTTAATTATTGATTTTGTATTCTATAATGTATCTGTTGATCTTTTGACATATTGTTGATTACAATATATTATATTCTTATTAATTGATTGAATGTTGATAGAATTCATGTATAATTATCTGTTAACACAGAAAGCTAGAAAGCTGACCAATGACAATGCAAGCACAAAGGAGTACCAGAAACAGAGTTGTAGAATGTACGAAGTTTTATCGGGGTTATTAAATATTGTCGAATTAAATTAACAATATCCACACTCATATCCATTTAGCTTTCTCCTATCGTAAGCTCCCTGTTCCAAACACAAATAATATATTTTATCACTTCGTCAGACTTAATATCAATGTAGATTAAAAAAACAAATCAATGAAATATATTAATAATTCTACAGGAATGAAACAAAACGAAACCAACCATTGGAAGGAACGGGGAAATGCAATAAAAGTAACCATTTCAAGTTTGGAACATAACTCTCAAAATTTTCTTTTCCACTTTTCTTTTTTTTCCTTTGATTTCTGAGCAACCAAACAAAAAAAAAAAAAAAAAAAAAACCAGCATAGTCATATTAACCAACCAAACAATGTAAAGTAATACTTATCCTCAAAAAACAAAACGTAAAATAATCGAAAACTTAACAGCTAAGAATCCGTAACTACCTTGAGAACATCTATCTACATGAGTAAAAAAGTAAACATCAGCAAGTTTTGATTTTGGAAGAGGATTTAATACAATTATCGGGAACGAATTCGAGAGGGAGATAAACTTGGGAATCAAGGCGACAGTGGAAGTTGTCAAAAACATAAAAGACCGCGTAAGATGTCCGAATAACATAAGTAGATTCGTTAGACGGTTGTACGAACTACTGAACTGAAAAGTACATGTTAGCTTTGAACCACAAATCTATTCCAAAGTGTCCTCATTTGACTTGCTGTGAAATCTACGCTACCATTACTACTATGGAAAGCCAAAATCTTTGTTAACAAATTGAGCCGTGGTTATAAAATATAAATTCCACAGTCTTTATCTTGTTTTCATATGAATTTGAACCAAACATTATCTAAACGTCTAATTTTAAAACCATGTATTAATGGCTTACACAATTGCTGTGATCAATGAAAATTCAGTAATGGCGACACCTCCAGTAAATTTTGAAGACATAAGATGGCAAAGGGTTTGATCAGTTAAGTGTTTGTCGTTTTAAGTAAATGGATATTTCAGTTCGAGTCATATAGAAAAGACATGGATTAGATATTCACCAAACACGTTATTTAACGTTGTTTAAGGAGTTATTTGTTTTTATTTTACTCAAAATAATTGTCTTTCTATATATAAAATGATAAAAGCTATTGTTATGAATTAATTAACAAACTAAAGATGATATAGTTAATAAAAGATAAGATAAAAACAAATAATGTTGGGAAACAATTGTGTTATTCTTATAAAAAACTTACCCCCCCCAAAAAAAAAAAGAAGATATTTTAATAATAATAATAATACAAAATATTTTAAAATTTAAAAACTCGAAAATTATAAAGGAATAGTATGAATTAAAGTTAGAAGCAAAGAACATTAAAATGGTAAGGCATATAGAGTGGTGGATTCCATAGAAAGTGTGAGAATCGAATTGGATTGAAAGAGAGAGTAGAGCACTATTGGTATTGGAGAAGGAAGGAAATGGGAAGTGGGACCCATGTAAGTAAAAATTGAGGTCGAAGGCCGGCCCCAATTACAACACGCATCAATAATTACAGCAACAAAACCCTAATCTATATGTAACCAATTTTTCTGTTTCTTCTCTGGATCGTTCTTCACTAACACTCTCTTCTTTCATCTAAATGGGTCCCAATTTCTGATTACATAACCCTAATCTTCACTCTCAACTTTCATTTTTTCCCTTCTCCGTTAATTTCATGCACTCACTATTCCAATTGTTCAAGATTACTTTTTTTTTTTTCCTTTTATAACTGGTTTTTTAACATTGTGATCTACTAAGTTGATCTCTGTTGTTGTACGGTTTTCACATTTTTAGAGATGAATTTCTGGTTATAGTTAGCCATTTACTTCAATTGATTGATTATTAGAGTTTCTGAGATCAGCTTGTATTTGGTGTAGAAAGTTGAGATTTTGAGGATTATAAATCTGGGTTGATTGGGAATTTTAAGCTGCATTTAGTTAATTCTAAAGGAGGCATAGATGTCTTTCAAGAGTATATTGCAAGATGTGAAGGGCGAGTTGGGGAACATATCTAGGAAAGGGTTTGATGTTAAGTTTGGGTATGGGATGCGATCGAGGTCGCATCGGGTGGTTCAGGATAGTTCTGTTGTGGTGGATGCTTTCAGGCAAAGCTGTTGGGCTAATATGCCGCCTGAGCTTTTAAGGGATGTTTTGATGCGGATCGAGGCTTCTGAGACTTCTTGGCCTCCTCGCAAAAACGTAGTTGCTTGTGCCGGTGTTTGCAGGAGTTGGAGGGAAATTATGAAGGAAATTGTCAAAACTTTGGAAGTTTCTGGCAAGTTGACGTTTCCCATTTCCTTGAAACAGGTTTGATATCAACGCTTTGTCTTTTCTCTTGACCTGGTGATTTTTGTGTAAAATATGCTTCTCTTTCACTATGTTTATTAGCATTTTGTTGTACTTTAGTGTTTTATGACCTTTGTTGAATTCAAATCTGTTAAAAATGCTATTTTTGTATTATGCCATCTATGCATATTCATCTCCAATTACGTAGAAATAGAATTCTCAAAATTAGAGGCTAAATGATGGTCTTCATGTTTATGTGAGGGAAAAGTTAGGGACAAAAATCTGATGTGCTTGTTAATGTTTGACAGTTCTCATGTAAACTTATGGAAGTATTATTACTTAAAAAATGGTCCTGATCTTCTGCTGATATATTTTTTTTTTTTTTTTTGTCTATATTTACTTTGATGAAATCTAGTTACTGGAAGTGTAAACTTTTGTGGATCTGCATTTCCAGTGATTTAAAATTAGACTTTAGCTCACTGTCTAACCTTGCTTTGGGTTTGATTCATTGTGGGTTATTGAACTGTGAATTATGATATCATTGCGTAATTATTTTTATGAGCTTCCACATAAATGTTTGTGGTGTGGACATTGAAGTCAGTTAACTTTCTCAGTCAAGCCATCAGATTGCCCTCACATTCAGAGTGACCATAAATTCCTGAGTCCAAAGTTTATGAATTAGAGTTCACTACACTACAACCTTCCTTCTGATGCTATGCCAATAGTTTGATAGAAAATGACAATAGAAAAGTCTTGTCGAACCTATTGAATCAATTACTGCTGACCTAATAAATAGTTACTAATTCAATGATTATTTCCTATTTATTGTTGTGACTTCATATTTTGGTTTTTGTTGGAGTGAGCATAATTTGAACAGGATTAGAAGCCAATATATCTCTCTTTCCCATCTGGAATATCTGGTTACATCAATTTTAATTATTTAATATTTTTTAATTTGAGGTTAATAATTTTAAGACATCTTTTGCTTGCTGTTAATCTTTATAGCCATGGTTTTTATGTTCTGCAGCCTGGGCCAAGGGCCACTCTTCTACAATGCTACATAAAACGGAATCGTAGCAACCAAACATATTATTTATATCTGAGCTTGAATCAAGGTGACAACTGAAATTTTATTACACTGGATGTTCTAGCTTGTGTAATTCATGGTGCTGATGTGATTTTGTGTTCCTTGTTACAAAATGTCTTTCGCTTTTATTAGTGGAAGAGTTAGGTTTATCGATGATTTACTAGTATTTTTGTATTACTATAGGGTTTGCTTTCTTTAACACTTTTTCAAGAGTGATTTATGCTAGCACTAAATGTTGAATTGTTATGGCCTTTGTCTCATTGCATAGCAGCTTCAAATGATGATGGTAAGTTCCTTCTTGCTGCAAGGAAGTGTCGACGCCCTACTTGCACTGACTACATTATCTCATTGAACTGTGATGATGTGTCCAAAGGGAGCAGCACCTACATAGGAAAGTTAAGGTATGTTCATTCAGGATGTGATTTGGTTGGTTCTTCATTATCTTCTAGGCATACAGTCACCATCTTGGTTTCCCTAATGGCAGATCAAACTTTTTGGGTACCAAGTTCACAATCTATGAAGGACAGCCTCCAAATGCTGGAGCCAGAGTGACTAAATGTCGCTCTTCCAGGCTAGTTAACTTGAAACAAGTCTCCCCTAGAGTTCCTACTGGCAACTATCCTGTTGCCCACGTCTCATATGAATTAAATGTCTTGGGTTCCAGGTAATAGATGTTTCTTAAATTTCCCGTTCATCTTCTCTGAAAAGAAATGTGGAACAATATAATATTACGTTATTGTTATTATTCAGTTGCCAGGATGTTATTCCTTTGGCTTATAGTGTACATATTTGAATAATAGGGGTCCAAGGAGGATGCAGTGTGTTATGGATGCCATTCCTGTCTCTTCTATTGAACCAGGGGGAGTGGCCCCCACACAGACTGAATTTCTTCACAGCAATGTGGATACCTTCTCTTCCATTTCTTTTTTCAGATCAAAATCAACTCGCTTGGAGAATTTCCAATCTGGACCTTTGACTGTCCAGAAAGATGGAATGTTGGTTTTGAGAAACAAGGCCCCAAGGTGGCATGAACAACTCCAGTGCTGGTGTCTGAACTTCAACGGACGGGTAACAGTTGCTTCAGTTAAGAATTTTCAACTGGTTGCATCCTTGGAAAATGGAGCTGCTGCGCAGGAGCATGAGAATGTTATTTTACAGTTTGGAAAAGTGGGAAAAGATGTGTTCACCATGGATTATCAATATCCAATCTCAGCTTTCCAGGCATTTGCCATATGTCTTAGCAGCTTCGACACTAAGATTGCCTGTGAATGAGTGACAAGCAGGTGTGCGCCCGTATGCAGAACTTTTTTCTGGTCAGTGAAGGAGTACTTTTTGCATGATTTGAACCTAGGACGTATAACTAGTTCAACAACCGCTTCATTTTGCTTAAACATCCTTTTTTAAAAAGCTGTAGCCATTTGTTGATGAATTAAATTCTGATCTTGCTTTGAACTGTGAAATAATAACTTAAATGATATAAATTGATTAATGGAACTTTTTGTTTCCTGGAGGTAAGATTTGCGAGACATCTTCCAATGCTTGCATTTACATTTGAAGTTGTCCATTAGTTACTGAAGTCATATAATTTGGTAATTGCAATAATTACCACCGGCCCTTAACTTATTTAGATTGATTGAACAATACTAGATTATAGCACATATTAGAGCCTATTTTGTTCTCCCAGTTTTCAGTAGAGCAGTACATATTTACGGATATCAAGTAACACAACTTATTTATTGTTTTTTGCCTGGCAGGTGTTGCCAAATGCAATAAAAGTTGGTTGGGAAGCCAGTCGAAGTTCCTCTGCAACGCTGAGCATTGTGCTGCTAGGTAGTTTGATCTTTGATATATAATTGCCGTGTGAGCAGTTAGGTTTTATTTCAATTTTTCCTTGTACATAATAATTGTTATTATTAAGGGTGAAACATGGTCCCCTTTGTTGGTTCGGCGCTTGCTAACACATTTCAGCCTCCGGATCATTTTGTGTGAGAAATCAGACAACTGAAGATTTTGTAAGTCCATTTTTCACTTAACATATCGGTTAACCTTTCCTGTCAGTTGTGCAATTCAGGGGATTCTAGTATCTGTTTTAACTCGAGAACGCCAATGACATGAGTAAATTTAATTTTGGATGTGTAATCAGCAAGCATTCGAGCAGGATTTATCAATGAAATTTTTCCAGGTCCAGTTAAGATTACGGCTGCCTTTAATCATATTTTTTAGAGGATTAATCCCCTAGTTGCAGCTATAGTTATCCAAAGACAACCATTACAAGAAACAGACGATGGCCAAGGCTAGCATGCATGTCAACTAAAAATACAACCAAGTTTATTCATAAGGAATCATCTTTATAGCATTATGATGGGTGCATAACTACAAGACCGACAACTTCCAAAACATGAAAACGTCCAAACAAAGAATTGTGATTGATTTGAGAGGAGGGGCAGTAGCAATTGATGATAACAGTAATTAAGCTTCTGTCATTACCCGGCTCTTCTCCTGTTTATTTATGTAACGTTTTACTTTAACCACTATTTGAATAGCACAAGACACTCATTAATCGAAATTTGACTAACGTGGAACCACTTTTCAGCCGTCTCTTAGTTATTACAAAGAGAAATAAAAAGAAGTCAAAAGAGAAGACCTCCTTGGATGATGAGAAAACATTTCTTCTTCGGACTTGGAGAAAGGAGATTCTCAAAAACAAGAATTAAAAAAAAAAAAAAACACCTGTCCTGCTGTCCATATACTCAATAAATTACATATCCAATTTATTTAATATAGCACGTTTCAAGTTACTCATCAGCAAAGAAAGGAAATATCTAGTTTAATACAACGAAATTATTACAAGTATAAAATAAAAATACACCGACAGGTTACGCTACAACACAAATATCACCAGAAGAAACGATCCCAGTGCTTATAAAGGCAGATAAAAATCAAAAGGGCCGGGGGCCACCTGGAGGACCGAATGGGCCAGGACCACCGGGCCTACCGAAACAGTCTTGTAGCAACCAACAACAGCACAGGCAGGACAAACTGCAATTCCAAAAGGAATCAAAATGTAGAATTAGATAGTCTCAAATTGTCATGTAAACCCCGTATCAATGCAGTTGATATATCAAATTTAGTGGAGAGTGGATGTAATTAGACTTACCAAGAAGAAATCATGTTGCACATACCATCGAAGAACCCACCAAAAAATCCACCTCCAGGAAAGAAACCAGGACCTCCACCCCAAGGTCCGCCAGGTCCCGGACCCCAACCAGGTCCTCCAGGCCCCCACCCACCGCCGGGGCCTCCAGGCCCAGGACCCCATCCGCCGCCGGGGCCTCCAGGCCCAGGACCCCAGCCGCCGCCGGGGCCTCCAGGTCCGCCACCCCAGCCACCGCCGGGGCCTCCAGGTCCACCACCCCAGCCACCGCCGGGGCCTCCAGGTCCACCAGGTCCCATCGTACTCAAATTTTTGATACTCTTAAACCGATGCAGAAATAATGCCGAGGTTAGCGTCTCCGTAAACAGACACTCTCAAAATGCACGCACATCCTTCTTCCTTAAGTAAACAAATTCTCTCGTAATAACCTACCATTCGCGATCGCGGAGCTATTCTTGTTTCAACTACCATTCAAATGTATATCCTCAGCTTAAGTAACCATGTTTAATTGACAACACTTCAATTATTTTATTTCATTTGGACCCAGCCTACTTTACTGGGCTTCAACCTGGTTCATTTGGACCCAGCCTACTTTATTGGGCTTCAACCTGGGCTATTTGGGGATGAGTTATTGTTGTTTAATTGAATAGTTTCATTTCAAGTCGGTNCCAGGTCCCATCGTACTCAAATTTTTGATACTCTTAAACCGATGCAGAAATAATGCCGAGGTTAGCGTCTCCGTAAACAGACACTCTCAAAATGCACGCACATCCTTCTTCCTTAAGTAAACAAATTCTCTCGTAATAACCTACCATTCGCGATCGCGGAGCTATTCTTGTTTCAACTACCATTCAAATGTATATCCTCAGCTTAAGTAACCATGTTTAATTGACAACACTTCAATTATTTTATTTCATTTGGACCCAGCCTACTTTACTGGGCTTCAGCCTGGTTCATTTGGACCCAGCCTACTTTATTGGGCTTCAACCTGGGCTATTTGGGGATGAGTTATTGTTGTTTAATTGAATAGTTTCATTTCAAGTCGGTAGTGGTAAATGTCACCTACCTATTTCTCCTTCCACCCATTTTCTTCTTTGTTATGATGTCTTCTAATGTCTCATTCTAAACCCAACATCTCGCTCAAGTAATTTTTTTGTGTACACTTTGGAGAAGATAATTTCTGATTCGAACATACCATTTGTATTCGCACAAAAATTTACCTCAATCTGAACCCTGATTTGTGTTTTTAAAAAAAAAAAAATTAAAGATTTTTAAAGGAATCATTCAGCAAGAGAAATCCAAGGAAAATGTTAATTCAGAGATCTTCAAGAAACAATGCTATATCCAAGCAAAACGCTTAAATAGAATATGAAACTACAGTGCATCCACTATTTAAAAAAACTCATTTGATATCATTTCAAAGATAAAGTGATAAATCATTTGTTAGGTCTAGTACCTTAATTAACCACAAATTACTTATAGTAGCTGCATTATCTTTGAACTAGCTTACATATAAATTGATTCTTGGCAATAGGACAATATAAAACAATTTGTCAAACAGCAATAGGATGTCATTTTGCAGAATAGCTATATCCACAGTGACAGTATAAAACAATCCATCTGGCAAACAGCAATAGGATGTAATTATGCAGAATAGCTAAAATTTGTCAACATTCAAGTCACAAAAGCAACTAGATACTGGAAAATCTATTCGTGTCCAACAAACAAGGACTTTACATATGAGAAATATACCATTGACAATAACCTTGAAACAATTATTTTCTTATGTACTTTCAGGTCATAGGCAGCATATCTCATTAAAGCTCATGCCATCCAAGACCAACTGCACAACCACGTTGTAGTAACCTAAAAAAATTCCCGAGTTATCTGGTAGGTTCATGCTGATAATCTTCACTTCATGTTTGTACTTTATGCCATTTGAGACTAACTGCAGGATCATACAATAGTCACTGATAAGAAAGTGTGTGTGTGTGCGTGTGTAAAGAGGAGTCACGAATTAGATTTTAACGAAGAGAAGGGAAAAGAAAGTAAAATTGAAACTAAAACCTTGAAAATCCCAATTTATATACTTGAGTAAGATAAACAAAGCCTCAGATTAGCATTTTGGCACATTCTTCCTTGCGTCAACAACCCATGTGTAAAATCTACCATGGTGCGCTAAATGTTGTTGCAGCTCATGTCCAAAATTGTCATCATAGGCAACAACAATTCACACTTTAAGTTCAATATTTCAGTCATGTAATTGTGCTGGTTCTCAGAATATAAGAAAAACCAGAATCATGATTAATAACCTCAACATTTGCATTGACGTGAACAAATTGCAGTCTGATAAGAAAAGAAATCAAAACCATTAAGCGCATCTTCTAAGTTAAGTTTGTTTCCAGAAATGCAAGAAAAATTTAAGACAAAATTTCTAAAATCGAATTATTCCATTAGTCGAAACCAGTAAAACTTAATAGTATAATCCAAAGTTTCACATTATAGCCCGTACGATTAACAGAGACAAAAACACTAAGGCAAGAGGAAATATTGATTATGAGAATTAAAAGAAATAAAAGCCTCAGATTAGCATATTGGCACATTCTTCATCGCAGCAACAACCCGTGAAGAAGATCCACACGGAGCGCAATAATATGTTGTTGCAGCTATGCCCATACTTTCTCCTCACCAGCTTAACAACTTAATTAACAATAAGCAAACGACCCTAATTATATACTTTGATATAAATTGCTAACCAACACAACAGAGTTATTTTTCTTTCTGAAAAAGTAAGATCAATAAATTGAAATAATTACCAAATATAAACAAAAAATTGTACTTAGCTTCCGCTAATTCGCCTGAGAAACCACCAAAATTTCAAGCTAAAGTGAGCAAGATTGCTCAGATTAGGATTAGGGTTTCCTCTTATACTCCAGATATATGTGTTTCTTTGTTTTTTGGGAGAATTTGCAGCTGTACCCCTTAAAGCCTTTCTATTTCCTCGGATACCCTGTATTTACATATTCACAATCATCACCCAATGTTGGGTCGAGTTTACTGTTTGCGATTGTAAAGGACGGTCATGATATTGAAACATAATAAATAGTTAAATCTACAGTTATTTTCTACAAGTTATGGTCAAATTTTTTTTAATAAAATAAAGATAAATTGGTAAACACTTCTGGTAAACGTGACGTGACAGTTTATCAATTTACATTTAATTAGACAAGATTCATTACGAACTAACAAATTATAAACTAACATATCTTTATAAAAGAAAATTAGTCAGAATAGTTTACCAATATAGTAATTTTTTTTTTTATGAGTTTATAAATTATAACTTTATAATAAATATGAAAGTGGTTTTAGAGACCGACGAGTCGTTGAAGCTGAAGCCAGTTGGGCCTGCCAAGGAGAATTACGGGCTGTACACTGTTGGGCTAATGCCTTTGCAGCTAATTACATCATTATAATCAGTATTCAGTACAAAAGAGGTTTTAGAGACCGACGGAGTGGTTGCAGCTGAGCCAGTTGGGCCTGCCAAGGAGAATTACGGGTTGTACACTGTTGGGCTAAGTAAGGCCTTTGCAGCTAATTACATCAAGCGGCTCACTACGCTATTATCCCAAAAGGAGCTTATTGCAATCATGCTATGTAAGAAATGGAGGTATAGGCCTGTGTGATATGGTTTGTTAGATGTTTCAAATATTGTAGAAATGGTATATTTTATTTCCTGATAAAATATATGAATAAATCATAATTTTTCAATTTAAATGAGATTCTGAAAAACTTAGTAGACATTCTCAGTTATAAATAAAATTGATTGCTGAAAATATAATTGAAAAGAGAGAATGTGAGTGGTGAAATTTGTAGGAATGGGCCTGACATCGGACATCCCTGTCAATGGCAGTGGCACATATAAAAAAACAAAAAAAAAAGGAATCAGGGGAGTGTGAATCTGAGTCTCACAAAATTGGTCCCCGTTTGGTTTGGGTTAGGGACAGGCAAAGAAAAATGGTCCAGTATATGATTGAAAGAATTACAACCATTGGATTGGATGATGGACCATTAAATGAATGAAAAAAGTTAGAATACCCCACTTATGAAAACTCTTCAAATCCAACAAGAGAGTCGAAGGCAGCAGCGAGCATCTGGTGTTGAGTCTTCACCAACTAATGGTCCCATTCACTCACCATTATACCAAATGATGTTACTTATTAACAAATCTACACACCCCACCATCCCAAATCCCAATCACTATTTATTTCTAAATCTCTTTTTCATATTATAATTAAGCTCAACCTATGAAAAAGGGGGAAAGGAAATGATTCCATATGAAGCAAGTTTGGTCCAATCATCTGAGGATGTTGTGTGTTGCCGTATATTGACAATATTTCAAAAGTTATAACGCTAATACTGAGTCACATACGTAAGACAAATACCATGAAATTGTTTTCCAGCAAAATTTGACTAAGTAATAATTTAATAAATTTGGAATCGACCCAACTCCAAGTATGCCGAGTCTAAATTTGTCACTTAGTGAACAGAAAGTCTGTCATAGAACATGGCATTGCTACTTTTTTGGTAAAATTAATCAACCAACACCAATAACATTGATTCCTCATCCACGACTTATACCTTATCTTTTTGAAATGAAACAAACTTAGTTGTGCACGTAATTTACAACCCTAAACATTCATGTGCATCTGTAATTTTGGTCCCTTTCACAACTCCATTCTACCCTAAACCCAATCTTTTATTGTTGGTGGATAAGCGTTTAATATTGTGCCTTTTTTATAATAAAAATATAAATTAGAAGCTTTATTGGTAATGATTAGTCAGTCTATTGTTATTTTTTATTCTATTTGTTAGACTAAAAGAACTTAATTTTTCTTTAAAATCATCATTTAGCGATGTGTTACACAAAGTCAATCCAATTAATTTTGAAATTTGACACACAATTTTGCAAATAGTAACATAAATCCCATGTTGCCACGTGTAAAAGATAAGAAAAAGAATTAGGTAAAATGACAACTTTTTGAATGGAGGGGGCATTAGTTTAAGTAGTTACGTGATAGTAATTGACCACGTTTTAAAAAAAAAAAAAAAAATGGAAAGAAATGATGGTGTTGGATATAATCATAGTCAACTATATGGATTAAGAGAATAAATGACCAAAAAAAAGATGGACACACAAGTACGTAAAAGGTCAGAGAGGTAATTGTCGGTGACGATCATGTCGATGTCGAGGGTGAGGCGGACGTAGCTGTGCTGTTACTTTTTTTTTTTATTTTTTTCTTGCGTCAAAACTCCAACGTAGACAAAGACATAAAGCTCACGCTAAGTAGGGAGAGATTAAAAAAAAGAAAAAGGTAATGTCACTCAAGTTGATTGGACAGTGCAGGCCGGCACTAGGGAGCAGACTTTGCCCACCCTCTATTTTTCTTACTCAACCCTGTTTTTGTTTTCTTTTAAAAGGTCCCCCCACTGCTCTTCTTCGGCTCATAACCCAGTTTCTTCACTTTCTTGCTCAACTCTATTCCTTTTAATTTCATTCTAATCTATGTGAACTCTTAATTGCATTCATTATTTTCCTAACTTTTTACTCCTTTTCATACCCGATATTATTATATGAACATTTTCTAGAATGGAAATTGGCCTACTTTTTTAACAACTCCCATCTAACTTGAAACGCGAATCACCTAACCCCAAAATACTGCAAACCAAAGAGAGTTCTATTATGATAAAAACCAAAAATAATAGTAGTTTGCAAATTTGATGATTATATAAATCTTCAAATAAATAAAATGTTACATTTTTCGTCATGATGCCATTTGCAAAGATTCCAATGGTGGGAGCATCTAAAATTAACAGTAAGTCAAATGACCCGTCTTCTTTTTCTACATTGTGTCAACAAAGTTTGCCACATAATCTCTGTGTGTGATTTTTTTTTTACTACGCAAGGTATACATACTGTCACTTTGGAGAGGTAGGCGCACATGCATTAGAGAGAGATCTTAAACTTTAATTAATAATCAATGATATGATAAGATAAAAAAGTCCAATCAAACTCTTCCACTAATAACATTGACATAAATACATACATACTACCATTTACCTTTTTTTCCATCACGTGCACCTAATACTTGTCATACGCAAACGCAAAACGGTCACGCCTTGTATCAAATGTTACATTTATTCATTTATAT